GAAGCATAAGGGGAAAACCATGTTTCCGTGACAAATATAGCATCAGGGTTGGCGAGGGCAGACAGCGGACGCAAGATATGCATTTTATTGTTTAGGGCCCTAGCATTTATAAGTAGAAGTGAGAAAGAACACTTGGGGTCTACTAGATTGACGCATGACGAGACGAAGCCGTTGATGCTTACTTCGCTATCTGTAGTAGTTGTAGGAAGTGGGTGAGAAGACATTGCAGTTGGTAGTTGTGCGACGAGGAGATAATGTCAAAAACGTCGAAGTAGTATGTTTGTATCACCGCCAAGTTCATGGAAGTGCTAGACGTTGTCGGGCTCCCTGCATTTTGCACGACCCAGCTGCTTCAGTGAAAACGAATAGCCCACATACTAGCACAACAAACGTATCATTCAATGACCAAGCAAACCGGCTGTTTTATGTTAGGGATCGACGTACTTCCATCATTTTCCTCGTCGAGACGGGAGCGGAAATCAGCGTCATCCCAGCGACCGCTAACGACAAGCACTCAAAGCCTACGTACAACCTAAGTGCGGCCAACGGTTCTCCGATAGCTTCATTCAGTCAACGCATGTTGAACCTGGACATCAATCTTCGCCGAGATTTTTAGTGAGTCTTCATGGTTGCGTCTGTACCCTTCGCAATCTTACCCGTTTTTGGAATCGCCGATGTGCCATCAGATTATGCGAACCTACTGTCTGAATATCCGCGAATGGTATGACCAGCTGCAGAACTTCCGCCAGTCAAGACAGAGGTCGCTCACCACATAGTCACGCGCAGGACCAAGACGACTTGCTCCTGACAAACTACGCGCAGCACTAGCTGAGTTCAACCACGTGCTTCAGCTCGGTATCATCAGACCGTCCAACAGCCCATGGGTGTCGCCACTGCACATGGCTGGCGTCATTGCGGCGCCTATCGATCCTTGAATACGGTTACCACGCCCGATCGCTATCCGATCCCACACATCGTGGATCTCACCGCCAGTCTGACGGGTAAAAGTATGTTCAGCAAAATCGACTTGGTACACGCATACAACCAAATTCCGGTAGCCAAAGCGGACATAGCTAACACTGCCGTGACAAATCCACTTAGTTTGTTCGAGTTTCCGCGCATGCCATTTGGCCTAAAGAACGCTGCGTAAATTTCAGCGCTTCGTTGACCAAGTTTGTCGCGGTTTAGCTTTCGCTTATGCGTATCTCGATGACCTTTTAATCGCAAGCTCTTCACGAGAAGAGCACATACGCCACGTACGAACATTTTTTGATCGTTTATCTCAACACGGGGTGACTAACAACGCAGAAAAGTGTTCGTTTGGTGTCCATTCAATCAACTTCCTCGGCCATCGTACTTCCTCTGAAGGCGTCGTGCCACTGCAGGATAAAATTCAAGCCATCATCGACTACCCCGAGCCTCATTCTTTCAAACAGCTCAGGCGTTTTGATGTGCTTGTCAACTTGTACCCACGATTTAAACCCAAATGCGTCTCATTGATGCAACCCCTCACGGACCTTCTTCGAGGGAAACTCCAGAAGTTCGTATTTTCTACCGCAGCACGCGCTGCTTTTAAGTCGCTGAAAGAGGCTATCGCCAACATAGCTTCTATAGCACATCACGATCCGGCCTCCCCACTGTCCCTCAGTACTGACGCCTCGGACGTGGCAGTCGGCGCTGTTTTGCAGCAACGAGTAGCCGACACGTGGCAGCCCTTAGCGTTTTTCTCCAGACGCCTACAACCGACGGAATCTCGCTACAGCACGTTCGGTAGAAAACTACTAGCCGTATACCTGGCCGTACGTCACTTTCGACACGTTTAGTAGGCCGCTCATTTGCCGTGTTCACCGACCACAAACCCGACTTACTGCTCGGCTCTACTACCGACCGCTACTCTCCTAGAGAATCTCCCCACCTTGGCTATATCGCTCAGTTTATAACAGATATATGGCATGTCTCAGATGTGAACAACGCCGTCGTCGATGCACTGTTTCGCATCCAAACCATCTCCGGTAACGCCAGCACTGCTATCGACTTGGCAGCCATAGCCAAAGGGCAATTCAACGATCCTGGGGTTAATCTACTATCTAGGTCTTCCTCACTGGACATACGCTGACATCATCTGACATAAATATACTTTGCGACTTATCTCTGGGCACGCCGCGCCCAGTCGTCCCAAGCGATTTTCGGCATACCGTGTTCGACACGTTGCACGGCTTGTCTCATCCAGGCGTTCGTGCATCGGTTAAACTCGCAACCGCACGATTCGTTTGGCGCAACGTTAATCGGGACATCCGTAATTGGGCAGTTGCTTGCCTGCCGTGTCAACGCGTGAAAGTGTACACGCACACGAAAAGCACACTAGTCACGTTTCTGATAACAGATGCACGTTTTCATCACCTGCTCGTCGACCTCGTAGGTCCTTTGCCGCCTTCGAAACTCCCTGTGTATTTGCTAACCTGTATCGGTCGAGTTACCAGATGGCCTGAGGCAGTCCCTATTTCAAATTGCTCTTCGGAAACGGTAGCGAAAGCTTTTCTGGAGCGGTGGGTAACTCAGTACGGCTATCCCGCCATCGTGCCCACCGATCGAGGGTCAAAATTCGCGTCGACATTTGCCACGTTGCTTAAGGATTTAGGCTGTCGCCACCTTCAGACAACGGCTGATCATCCGGTCGGTGACGGAATGGTGAAGCGTTTTCACCGCCAGTTGAAGGCAGCGATATGTGGCACGCAGATACTTCATGGTCTGCAACACTTTCTTTCTTCCTCCTAAGATTAAGAAACACGGTGCAAACCGATTTTGACGCCACACCAGCGCAGCTAGTCTACGGTTGCACGCTGCGGTTTCCCGGACAGCTGGTAGCACCAGCCCCATGTACTTCCACTTTTGCCTACGGAAGTTACGCTGATCGATTGGCTCACCAGATGCGTGAGCTGCATGCACCTGCTCCTCGATCGCAGAAAACACCAGTGTACGTGCCCGAGAAGCGGCCTACGTGTTCACACGTCCTACTTCGCGCAGACGGTGTTCGACAGCCTCTTCTTTTGCCTACATAGGACCTTTCAAGGTGCTATATCGTGCGAGTAAGGCGTACACTATTGACCGCGGAGGTCGACGCGAAGTCGTCACCATCGACCGTCTAAAGCCCGCCTATACGGAAGAAACCACCTCGCCTACTTCGTCTAGTAGTGCTTCGTGCGACGTCACAACTCACAGCACCAGCTTACAGCATTCCAGTGCCGTTCAACCAGACCACGAGCTCGGTATACAAACCGTCCCAACATCTCCCCAATCTAGCTCGCCGCCTCCCACAACCAATCGCCGTGGTCGGGAGGTGCGTAAACCCGTTCGTTCCCCCGACTATGTACAGTGTAAATACTTTTAACTTTGTAGATATTATATATATTTGTTCCATTTTTGGTCGCTCAACGTTTTGAAAACGAACAAAATTATCAAAAACCTCCAAAAGACTTTTTCAAAAAATATTCAAAAACCAAAAAATGTAAACATGCAGATCATTCGTTTGTTCTTTCTGGCGTTTTCTGCACGTGTTTTTCTATTTTCACGTCTCTACATGCCCCAAACCCTTGTCTTCCTTTGACTGGCCCACACGAGGATTCCTTTCGGGGACTCTGACGGGAACGCTGGTCGTTTCTCCGCGGGACGTGGGTCGCTTCTCCGTGGGACCATGTTCGTTTCTTCGTGGGACGAGGGTCGTTTTGGCGCGGGGTGGGGTACGGCGGGGGGAGAGACCACTCCTATACGCGCCGTTTGGCGGCAGCGGAGGTTGAGGTCCTGTCGGCCTTTATCTGGGCTAGCCAGTTATTTAGTCCGACAAGCCCGCTCCAACGGCCCGCCAGAATGCACCCTGCCCTGCAATCAATAAATAACAAATCACAAACGGCACAGCGGACGCAGACTTCTGGCGAACTTCCATTTACACGAACGCCTCCTTTTTTATTGGCACGACTATGCCTTACGAAGCTTGCTTCAACCGACCCTTTCGAAATAGAAGGTTTTCTATGTTCGGCCTTCTAGGGGGAGCTCCGTGTCGCCCAAAAAGATAACTCTTATCTTACATGTACGATTCACTTGTTGACCGATTGTACATTATTCCTTCTTGTTTTAGTCGTCCTTACAACCGGCTCGTCACACAACAGCTTTGTAAGTTCCCACGCTCACGTGTCCGCTCTCGCCTCGCTTCATCCGTCCGCTTCTTATTGTGGCCCATTTAATACAATCCGCTGTGTCCGACTCCCATTGCCTTCTGATATCCGCGCTTACTTTCGCGCACCATCTCGGACTAGCATTAACTAATCCTACATACTGTCATCTGGCCGAGCTGCACCGCGATATTCCCTGATATTACTACTTTCTACTTGATGGAGTTTCTTTCCATTTTTCTTCCACCTGCTTCCTTCCCATAGCCGTTTCGAAGGGCGTGGTGGGATGAAGCTTTGAGCTGGCGTGAATTCAGTTTAAATGTCGCATAAGCCCGAGGAAGATACGGCTAGCACGCGATTCCAACCAGCTATAAGGTTGCTTGGCCTTTCATTAGAATTAACCAGAATTCTTTTTACCCTATGAGTTATGTAAAGCTTGAGCTTTTATTCCCATTAAATACAGCGTCCCTGTGTCTCACTGTGGTCTCTGATTTAATTCCGTCGGTATTTCAATGTCTGCCAACTTTGGTCTCAACGACCCGCTGAAGAAGGAACACTCACGGGATAATTCTATAGTTCCAGTCCAGCTTGAACTTGAACGAGTTATACTTGAGTGTTAACTAACAGATTCAGAATATCATAATCCGTAACAAAGATAAAAACAAAGGTAATTATTTGTCAACTAGTTACAGGTTTACTTTGCACTGTCTACAGTTTTGAGCTAGTCTTCATCATTCACTTTCATTTCGTGCTCCAGGACACCTGGCTTTGGACCGATCAGTGACGCAGCTCCAGACATATATAACACGAGTACCTTTTTTTCTACCTACGCAGATGAGCTTCGTTTGGGACTGGATTACTGGATCTGTCTCCAAAGTGTTATGTTACATTGGTTTATGGCAAAAGAATGGCAAATTAGTTTTTCTGGGCCTTGATAACGCTGGGAAAACCACTTTACTTCACCGTTTGAAGGATGACCGGATGGCACAACACGTTCCTACATTACATCCGACTTCGGAAGAATTGTCTATCGGAGGAATGAGGTTCACGACGTTTGATCTCGGCGGACATGAGCAGGCCAGGCGTGTATGGAAAAATTATATTCCCGCAGTTGATGGACTCGTTTTCATGGTGGACGCATGCGACCGTGACCGGTAGTGCTTTACTGTTGATTGTGCTCATTTTTATTTAGATTTCTTGAGTCCAAACGAGAACTTGATAATCTCCTTCAGGACGAACAAATAGCTCACGTTCCTGTTCTCATCCTGGGCAACAAAATTGACAAAGCCGGTGCAGCTAGCGAGGATGAATTACGATATTATCTGGGGATTCAAGGAGTCACAACTGGAAGAGGAATCATTCCAAAAAACCAGATGTCCGGAAGACCCCTCGAATTATTCATGTGTAGCATACTAAAACGTCAAGGATACGGGGAAGCCTTTAATTGGTTATCACAATATTTGTAGCAAGTTGTACGAGCGTGATGACTACGGCTGAAGAGCTAAAACGCTATTGGATTGAATTGATCGTTGGCCGCTGGTCACAAAAAGACGGATACCCAATCGGTTTATCACTCACAGTTGGTGCAGAAGCGCTTGGTTTTCTGATAAATTGTGTGTTTTATAACTAGTTCAGTTTAGATTTTGGCTGTTACTCTTCACATGCAGTGCGAAGACAGGTACTCCATTCTTCTCAGGCTGTCGTATCTATACAAAAAATGTTGTTTTATAAAATAGTCGGGTTAGGGATTAAGTGTTGAAATTCTTCGAATTACCAACCTTCCTTCAGCCATTGTTAGTGAAAAGCCGTTTCGGCATCCGCTTACTTGCAACCATTGGCTGCTGATTAGTTCAGATCTCTTAGTGTTAGCTTTTCACGCTCAACAAACGGTCCCATTTGCTTCTTTGTTTTACTTGAGGTGACGTACGTGTGACATTGGACTTCACCTGTCTATCTCTGATTTCTGATAAACCTATTTTGGAATCCTGATGTCGGAACTGAGCTCATTTGGTGTGCATCTTACTACCCATCTTGTTTTTTAGTCTGTTTCATTTGATATACTTGTTTTCTTTTGTGATATCTGGCGTGTTATCATCCACTGAAGGTCGCTCCTCAGATTACACCCGTCAATCTTTATTTCCGAACAATTTACACCTACGCTCTTCCGGTTTTCATGTTGGCATTGAATGTTCATTCTGGTCACGTGGATCGAAGCTGTACTATACTGTTGCCGATTTTCGGTCTTCTGTTCTTTGCACAATGTCATTACGATTATTTGCATCGTTCCTTGTTTCCTGGCTTGCGCTTAACCCACGAGATTGCAAAACGGCTGCAGAATTTCGCCTTGCTCTTTTTCACAACCATACTTTGCATCTACACAGGTGCTTATTGAATGATCGGCTCAATGAAACCGGTTCTTATTCTTATATTGGGAAATTTAGACCTCAGAGTAGTTTATTCATTATCTCATCGAAATTGGGTCAGACAGCTGCTGTTTAGCAGTGGTGAAGGAGTCATCTTCAAAGAACTGATTCATTCTTGAGCAGCATAGTAGAAGAATCCAGTGGGGGCAATCCCATGCTTTGCCCCAACCACAGGAATACGAACTTAAGGTTTTTAGCGCTTAAGCTATTGACCTGTTCCCACCCACAGACTTACTGTGGAAACAGCGCTCCGGATGAAAGGATGATACCCCAACTTTTAGTCGGGAACTGCCTGTCTCGGTCACCTTTTCGTTACCTGAAATTCCTCACTCTAACTACACCCACTGAATTTTAAGAAGCGGTTTAGCTTTACTTTGTCCCATTCAATCTACTTACGAATAAAGGTGTTCTAAACCATACTCACGGTTTACATTCCCAACACTGGATCGTATCAAGTCGCGTCAAGATCAATGGTGCACGCGGGTAAATTTTCGACAATACTTGTTGGTCTTTATGGACCCATTCTCCGTTTGTGTTTGCTGTTATGGCGGACTCCGCAATGATATATTTCTTTTCCGGGTCTACTTACATAGGATTAGAGCTTTTACCCGAGGAAGACCAGTTGAGGTGGATGCTACGGACGGATCCACTTTACCGTCAGAATAAGCGTGAGATATCAAGCAGCAATGTACAGACTCCTTAGAGTGATCTCTTGTGTGCGTTTCACACAAAACGCACAGTGCTTATGAGAATTACCAATCACCAGTCATTCTTTGAATATCCGCGACCGTTTTCTGGTTATTGTCGATTGATTCTTCTCTCTTGACAGTTGTATCAGCACTGAAAGGCCAGTTTACTGGAATCAGTCCACTTATTGAGAGTATCAGAATTAAATGAGTGGTATAACCCTTAGCTGATAAACGGAACAGAACGCGCACGCGTAGTATGGAACCGATTGACTAAAAGCATTCTGCATTACGGGGGCTAGAAAAACCGGAAAGGAAAACCAGTGAAATAAGCAAAGTTAGGCAAGGCCATTTTATTTACGAATCGATACTCAAGTGCATACGTGGTACCCCTATCTTCCCTGATCAAGACTGCAGACTGCAGGTTGATACCGATCAATTGGCTTAGGCGTGCTTTTGAGCGTCTTAATGTTGGTTGTACCGCATTCGTTTGTGGTTCCTGGTTTTGTGAAACTGATTCTCCATCCGTTTTTGGGTCAGTTGCAGTCGCTTTTTGATCCTGCTCCTGTGGTTCGTTTGAGCGTTGCCGGATATGGTCAAACTGGCGGCACACCATACGGCCATCCTCCAGCTGTGGCTTCACTTGGTTACTCCTTAAGGACATGAGTGTAGCAGGTTGCCAGCTTCTTTCGTGAGGCAGTCTTGTGTATACCGGATGAAAACCATTAAGACACATTTCCACTGGCATCTCCTCATCCACACACATTTTCTCCTGCTTTTCGTCCATTCTCCGACGGTTTGGAAAAGTAGGTAGTCTCCTTCGTAGTGGCCGATCAAACACTAATTCCGCGGGTGACTTCTCTGTTGACTCAGTCGGGGTCGTGCGGTAAGAGAACGGGAGGCATTCCAACTTAGTTTGTAGCGTTCCATGTGTCTGCTTGAGGAGACCTAGTTTAACAGTCTGGACTGCACGTTATGTCATTCCATTCAATGCGAGATGGTACAGCGCAGACTTAATATGTTATATTCCGTTGTTACTCATGAACTTTTGAAACTCTTCACTGGTAAATGGGGTTTCCGTCCTCGGTGCATACCGTCTCTGGGATACCGAAAATGGCGAATATAGAGCGCATTTCTACTACTGTTGCTGCGGAAGTTGCATGTGGAACTGGATGTACTTCTATCCATTTAGAATAGGCATCAATTAAAAGCACATCAACCCATTGATTGGACCAAAGTAGTCTGCATATCCCCGTTGCCAGGACCTCTCCGGTCAACGCCATGGACGTATCACCTTTGGTATTTCTGAAATTGTTCGCCGTTTTCAAGTAGCCGCTCTATATCCTGGTCTATGTTCGGCCACCAACTGTAACCACGTGCTAGCACCTTCATCCTGTTCACGCCGGGGTGTGCGTCATGCAGCTCTGTCAGCAACTGGGGCAGTACTTCTGGTGGAACTATGTGCGAGCCTCAAAATATACAGCCATCGTATAGACTCAACTCATTACTCCGACAGGCGAATGCTTTCAGTTCGTCTGACGTGATTGTAAGACATCCGGTCATCAAGAACCGTTTCACCATCCACAACACATGGTCCCGGCCCGACAGGCGCCGCACCACGTCACTCCGAATGGGTCTCCTTTCAAGATGTTTCATCAAATTGATAAACTCCATGGGTTCACTATTCTTTTTGCGCCATGCTGCTGCAGGAGACGACTAAGGGCATCGGCAATGGTATTACTTGGTCTTTTTACACACTGAAGTTTATAGTTATAGGCGCACGCCTCGCTTTTTCTAGGCTGAGGCATTTGTGGCGTCGCCACGACATTCGTCTATCCATCAAAGGGCGGGTCTATTGTGCAACTGTTCGTGCTGTATTGTTGTACGGATGCGAGACCTGGCCCATTCGCAAAGATGACTTGCGCAGGCTATCCGTCTTCGAGCACCGCTGTCTGCAGTCCATTGCCCGTGTGTGGTGGCAGCACCACGTAAGCAATGTGGAAGTTAGACAGCGTGTCTTGGGACGTGGAAGCCACTCGCTCGAGGAGCTCATCTCACTGCATCAACTGCGGTGGTTGGGACACGTATTGCGCATGCCTGTCCAGCGTTACCCCCGTCGTGCGTTGTTTGCACTTGCTGGACAGGGCTGGAAGAGATGGTCTGGTGGACAGCTTACACCATGGAGAAGCCGCATGAAAAAGTTGACGAAACAGCTGGCCTCGGCCGGTTGTTGTCGACTACCTGGTTGGGGTCCGAGAGATGAGGATACTTGCTAGTTGAAGACCTTGGAAGTTATGGCTCAAGATCGATGTCAGTGGCGGACGTGTGCATCGGTTTGTTGCGGTGTGCCTTCTTCCTCCCCCTAAAAGAACAAACTGAAAAAGTTTCAAAAACTGTGAGTGGGAAGATAGACAAAAAAGTATTTGTTGTTGGTTTTTTCTTATTATTCATATTGTTTTCCTATTCAGCCATGATTCCGATGGCACAATATCTGTACCACAGATTGTGTATAATATATAGTTATAGGCGCTCAAAAGTAATACCCACCATTGCATTCAATGTGAAAACATCTGCTGGATTCCTTTCTCCTCACCCAGAAGGGAAAGAAGTGGTTTATGGTCGGTGTGGATATCAAACTGTCTTCCTCAGACCTACTGGTGGAAATGCCTGACTCCGAAAATAATCGCTAAGGCCTCTGTCTAGTTGGGAGTATTTTCTTTCAGCACGTTACAGGCTACGAGAAGCAAAAGTGATTGAATGAAGAGAACCGTCATCCGTCCGTTGGCAAAGGACCATCTACTCTGCGTGGGGAAGCGTCACCCTGCAGCATTAGAGGCCAGCTTGTATCGAAATGCACGAGATACGGGGAGGCGCTGAGCACCCTTTTTTGCATCTGTGAAGATCTTTCTGGTTCCGGACCCCAAGTCCAGGACTTCCTCCTTGGGCAACAGCTCCTACAAGGATGCAAATACTGTTGGGGCGTTAGGTAAGAAGCGACAATAGTGTGAAAACATCCCTAAAAACGATCGGCGTTAAGTTTCATAC